ATCATAAGAAGAACTTTATTTCAGTCACTAACCCTACAGTAGTTTTGTTTCACCCCCATGCTTCGGACAGCAAGTTAAAACCGTCGGTCATGCACCTGATCTCTTACCGGTCGTGTCAAATTTTCTATCCATCGGAGTGAGAGCGAAAGGAAAAAATAGAACACTAATGACTGCAAATAATTTTGCACTATAATATCTCCTGCGCAGTTGGCTAGTTTCAGTGGGATTAGCGAGCTTAGCCGAAATCGATCTTGAGAACATTATTATAGACGCCTAAAATTGTATGCGTGTGTGTATGTTTGTTACACCTTAAGACTCAAACAGCTGGATGGTTGTAGATAAAAATCATAACCTACTTTCAGTGATAAAAATTTCCAATTTTGACAAAAGTTGCCTGTTTTGTAAATACAAAAGGTAACTAGCAAAACGAGGGTAAGCCGCTACTAAAATATAGTATGCCTAATGACTTATAATTTTAGTTTTCCATTAAACAATATCTGCTTATTGTGGCAACATTAATATTAGTTAATAACGTAATATTAGCGCAACGTTTCATTAGAATGGCATTTTGATAATTATAAAGCTGTCTACATTAATATTGAGTAACGATGTATATAATATATTCAATGATAACATGTAATAAGCTTAAATTAGCCTGTAATTAATTTTATATTTATGGTTTTCTTGGTAAATTAATTAAATCAAGATCATACCTAAGAAAAAAGGAATGTTTTTTTTTCTTATTTCTTCATAGAATATACAATGTAGTAGAACGTGACAACAAGTCACGTTTTAATCTATACATATAATAAAATTGTAACAAAGCCGAATTTGTACATTAAATATTTTTTGGAAAATCTTATTGAAATAGACATTATTATTGATACAGAGGCCGAATCTATAGTTTTTAGATTTTTTTCTGTCCGTCTGTCTGTCTGTCTGTTTGTTACCGCATCACAGAAAAACTGGAGGGATTTTGATGAAATTTGGTATAGTGATAGCTGGTTATCCGGGTCAACATATAGGATACTTTCGTTAAATGTCTCATTTCTGAGAAAAATACGAAAACTACAATGTAAGAGTATACTAATATGTAAAATCTAAGAACTTGGTTTTTGGTCATGGTGGTGATGTTGGTGGTTCGCGGGCGGAGCCGCGGGCAATACTAGTTATAAATAAAAATTGTAATGGCCGTGCTTATTAAGCTCATAACAAAATTATTTGCAATACAATAAACTCAAAAACTAAAAATTACTTAACTAAGAAAATTCATCTGACTGTGTCCTTTTATCGTCGCAATATACGAACCACGAGTAATAGCAAAAGAAAATGCAAATTATTAGTTTAAGAATATCTACTTTAAAACTATACGTAGCTGTTGTATTTTCACAAAAAGATAATATTAAATATATGCTCTAACAAAGCTTGCTTTAATACTACAGCCTTAGAGTAAGAAAATATTAATTCATTAAAAGAGTATACTTTAAGAGATCTGGAAACTCATTTGAGATACGATGCAACGAGTGTGTATGCTTTGCTGTTTTCATTTATAAATTAAATTCAACCTTATTTCCTTTACAAATGAGTTCAATTTCGATTTCTGATACTGTAACATTATTGTCCAAACCAATTTAAATTCCACGTTCTGAGAAAGATGGATTCATTTTACAATTTTCTAAATCATTTGCATTTGAATAATAAGCCTTATGCATGAAATAATAAAGTTGTAACTAATTTTATCTTTGTTATAAAGGAGAAAATGTTAGTTTCTTAAAGTTCCTCCGTCCTAATGGATTTCTATTATTTACTTTACGCTATCTGTCACGGAGCTCTATTTCATAAATGGTAAACGGTAAATGGTAAAATTTATCACATACTATTTTGTTGTTTTGAAATTGAAAACCGTTGTAAATTGTTTAAATTTTTCATAAATGGTAAATGACTCAAAACTATAGTAATGCTACCGAAATTAATAAATTTAAAAAACGCGTGTGTGTACTTATGCACGCACGTAAGAAGTTAGGTATACTTCTTTGGCGTAACAGAACAAAAATAGCTAAAGATTTCATCTCGTATGTCACAACTCTCTGTTTATAAAAGGAATGCCGCTTTTTGGCTGTCGTGTGCGCGCGCATCGTAAAAATTTTACTCTCATATTTTTTCCAAACGTGCCAAAAGAAGTATAACTTCAAAAATTGAATTTCATTAATTTTAACCATTCAGGAACCCTCTAAACTAAAAATAAGCATGTACAAGTTTGTTATAAATTGTCTAATGAATAAAACAACTTTATCAACAACAACTATCCAAGCGATACAATTGAAATAAAACTTCGATAGTCAGTATACTATACTAACTTTATACTAATAGAGTTATTACATAAGATATATTAACATTTTATGTATAATGGAAATTTTGAAGATAGCACACAGACCATAACGGTTTTAGACTTATAGCAAGTATAATAATGGTAGCGTTATTGCTGAAAGTTCATTTCCAATACAGAAAATTTCTATTCTACAAGAAATTTAGTAGTATAAAGATGTTACCAATTGAAAACTTAAAACTATTGCGGAGATTCAAAGTTCTTTATTCAACGCTTTTATCGACTTTGGAATATTTTTATTAATAAAACAGAATAAATTGGTTGATATAGATGTATGTACATGTAAAAAAATATGGATATTGGATAAATTAATTATTATTCTGATTATATGAAACAAATCTCCTATTATTTTGATTATATGAAACAAATTTCTGAAATTGTAATGCTTTAAACCAACAATAAATAAATATGTTGGGGACATTACCACAAAGCACCATCTAGATCCATGGTTAGGTACGAGACTTGTGTTATGAATACCAGATAGTTGATACACTATATATATATATATATATATATATATATATATATATATATATATATATATACTATGACTGTAGTACAAACATTCATACTCATCACACAAATGAATGCCCCCAGAGGGACTCGAACTCGCGGCCGCTGACACAGCAAGTACTCACTACAAATTGAGCCAAACGTGTCATCAAATTTATGACGGTTTTTCAAAATATTTGGTATTTTATTTGGTGTAATGGAAGGTTATCAGAACCCCAAAGTTTACGGCACGATCTTGATTGATTACGCTTGCATTACCGCGTACATTTTCCTGTTCCGCCAATTGCCAGACATATTATAACAGCTCTTATATAAGGTCTGTGTATTATTGTTACCATAACTGCCTCGGTGGTTCCTGGAAGTCCTGCGTTCGAATCCTGAGTCATATCAAGTTTAGTTGTTTAACCTTTCTGTTAAGAAAATCTTGCCTGAAATTGGTATGTTGGTGATGTTTCAACTCCGTACCTCGAAAAGCACGTAAAGCCGCCGTTTGAAATGACCACCTTGCACCACTTACTGTAGCAACTATTTTACCGTAAAAGAACATAACTAGAACATGCTCCCCTGCGATGTTCGCCATTCAAATTCACTAAATATTTTTAAACGTCGTCTAACTAATTAAATATTATTATCTATCTCTTTAATTATAGTATATACTAGCGGCTTACACTCGCGTTGCTCGGTGCGTCGGTAGGTGAATAACATGTAGCCTACGTGTTATTACAGGTCAAAGTCTATACACTAAATTTCATACTTTGTTTAGTCATTTCAGCCCCGTGCCTGATTTTACACTGATCGTGTAAAATTTTCGTCTCATCGGAATATGAGATTGAAAGGATAGAGAATGCACTTATTTCTGAGCATGATATAGTGCTCTATATAATCACCATAGTAGTTGGCTCATCTGAGAAAAATTGGCTACCGTGGCCTAAATCTAAATCGGTCAGGTAAATCATTACATTATCGTTGCCTAATGAGAATATAAAATTGACTGTTTCAGTAAAACATTTGGAACATACCTATCCTACCTATAGCTTCTCTTGCAACTAACTGTGTAGCGTGTAGATAACATATTATTGGAAGTCCTAAGTACTTCTAGATTTTTAACCGACTTCGAAAAGTAGGTTCTCAATTCGATTGGTATTTTTTTTATATATGTACATCGATTACGCTGAGATTTATGATCCGATTTACGTTTGGGCGGGACGTATGATTTTCTGTTGTGTTTAAAATTTTTATTAATTACTGTCAATATAACGATTATATCAGGAAAAGTGTTTCATTGTTTCACAGGTATATTGGTGAAATTGTTTTGTGATGTAGTAATCAATCCTCATCTAACTCGTTGCCTCTCTTTTAACCCACGTGTTCTTATTTATTTTACATTCAACTTATTGCCATTAAAAAAAAGAAACTTATGTAACAAGATAAAAAGTAGACTAAAATGCTCCCCGCTCTATTATCTGTTAACAAAAATCAAATCAATTATAAGTATGTATCTAAATAATATTTAACTATATTCTTTATTCTTATTAGTATCTCTAAAATTTTTGGTTAAATTCTAAAATTATTGCAAGATCGAATATATTTCTATATATTATAATATTTGAACAAACCTACTTTTATCTTAACTAATTATATTTACAAAGTAGTGGGTAGTTAAGATGTATGCGATTAAATTGTTGAACTTAATGACAATTGAAAACAAGTGTTTAAGTAAATAAAGAGATGAAATAACAACTCCATTCTTATTCCAGAAAATTTATATTTTACAGTGCAAATGAAACGGTATTTCGAATCAGTTCATTCTAAAACAGATCGTCACCCGACGTTTATTTCCGTCCAAACGACCAGAGAACTCAAAATAGAAAAGTCCACGTTCTCTCCTCAGTAGTGCAGCACGCACGCGGAACCGCACAAACTAAAATACAAAAAATAATACAACTTCTTACAAAACCGCGTGATAATTTTAAATTCAGTTTCCTATAAAAGTGAACGTGTTCGTCCACATCCGTTCGCCATGAAGTCTCGACCGCTAATGGCGGCCATATTGTTTTTTATTTGTTTTTATGTCCACCTTTGTTCGGGTTGTGAAGTAGACATGGCTGTTTATAAAGTGTCGATGAAATTTTTGTGGAGTGAAGAGACGTTTCCCAAAGACTATCCGCTGCATCGACCGAAAGCGCAATGGTCGACTATGTTGGGTTTGTATATTGATTATGCAAAAGCTTTTTATACAATTTTAACGCTATATAGTATGTATGTGTGTATGTATGTTATATTCTCTCTCTCGTATGCTAGGTTCTCTCAGACATGCAGGTTTCCTCACGATGTTTTCCTTCACTGTAAGGCAAGTGGTAATCATGTTAGAAATGATTCGCACATGAAAATATCAGAGGTGCGAGACACGGGATTTGAACCCACTTCCCACGGTTTCCCAAGTGAGCGCGTTACAACTGGGCTACCACTGCATTATAGTATTGTGGTAAGTATTGTGGTATATATATATATATATACCACAATACTTACTTTCTAGGTATATAATACGACTACTATTGGAAATGGGAAAATTTGTATGTATGTATGTTTTTTACTCCTTCACACTAAAATGGCTGAACAGATTTGGATAACATTTAGTACACCAAATAGATTATGACCTGGAGTAGCACACAGGCTACTGTTAAGCACCTAGGAACGCACTTGAGAGAAGTAAGGGTAAGTTGCTAGTATTATTATAAGTAATATAAGCGATTTGTTAAAGTAATCAAAAGTTAAATCATAAATTCTCTTGCTTAGATAAAACATTTATTTATCCGTTTTTCTGATATGATCAGACTGCGTTTTTCCGATTGCTCGATGACATATCTTCTACTAAAGTGCTTTTAGATAAGTTTATTGAATTGAAATCGTTGTCGATTTAGAAAAATCCAATAGAAAGATGTTTGTCGCAAATATTATTATTTTAAACAAAGTAATAATTAGTTTGTTCACGTGCCTAGTTTATATATAACTAGCATTGCCCGCAGCTCCGCTCGCGTTCAGGTGACCAAAAGCCAAATTCTTAGGTTTTACATATTAGTATACTCTTACATTGCAGTATTTTTTCTCAGAAATGAGATATTTTCCCGCTGTAAAAAGTACCCTATATGTTGATCCGGATAACCAGCTATCACCATACCAAGTTGCATCAAAATCCCTCTAGTGGTTTTTCTGTGATGAGGTAACAGACAGACAAAAATTCTAGAAACTATAGATTCGGCCTCTGTATCAATAATAATGTTTATTTCAATAAGATTTTCCAAAAAATATTTAATATACAGATTCAGCTTAGTTACAATTTTATTATATATAGGTATAGATTATAAAACATGTGAAATAATTGCAGAACAAAATAGCCAATTATGGTAATGTTGGGCTACGATATATTATTAGAGTACTGAGTGAAGTAGATATATTTTTATTGCTATTTATATATAATACTTTATTATAGATAATACATACATATAGATTTATACAATAACTAGCACTAGAAAGACAAAAACAAATCTATCCATATCGTACAATTTTCCAGAATAAGAAGTAGGCCTATGTATTATTCTGATGTAAGAGCTATATTATTGTAAAATTTCATTACAATCCATTCAGTAGTTTTTGCGTGAAAGAGTAACAAACATCTATACATTTATACATTCAGACAACCATACATCCTCACAAACTTTCACATTTATAATATTAGTATGGATGTTCAGGGTAGTTTTCTAACAAACTAAAACTAAACAAATTATTTTACTTACCCAGAGGATACTAATCTTCCTTTACACAATTAACTAGTCTAGTCGTGACCAGAAAACAAAGTATTCGTTGTATTATCAAATTATTCGATAGCAAACAACTCTTTGAATGCGACGCTTTGTGAGAGGCATTTCTCGTTTTTCCTAATCCTTTTGTACAATTTCAATAAAAAAGTTGGTATTATAGGGTTGGCGTTTTAAAAACTTATTATAAATTGAGTGTAGTGCAGAAACAGCAATTGAAATAATATATATATATTAGTCAAGTGTCCAACACATGTATACGGGTGAGATTTAAAGGTCCTAAGTTCGAATCTCGGGTCTATGAGCTTGGAATTGGGAAGTTGGAAGTGTTTCACTCGCATGAAACGAATCCAACGCGCAAAGTATAAAAAATCACAGTTTTGTGATGCTTTAATATTTTTAAAGATGAACATTAAATATAAGTAACTGCTGTTTTGGAAACCCTAATATAATATTTCACGAAGCATCCCAAGATCAATGATAAAATGTAGGTAACCTGCGTGTTACACTAAATAAAATTGGTATTCGACAGTAAATTTACGTGCTAAATTAGACTTTTCCCTCAGGCAATTCTATTTGTACTTACATGTTTTTTCAATCAAAAAAGTATAATCGATTATCCATTTGATAAATTCTTTCCTTTATAATAATTTTATTGTAATACAATTTTTGTTTCCGTTGTTTCGATTTTGATTCAGTCTCTCCCGTGACCATGATTGCTTTAAAGCATTCAAAACGTCGAGAACCAAAAATCTAAATAAATCCATGCAAGAATCCGGTTTTATTTAAAATATTAACATTTACTTTAAGTAAGTCTTTATTTGTGTGTCTTTATTTATGTAAAAACGCATGAGCAGATTACTTTGATGTCTTCAAATTACGACAAACCTATAATAACAATATATTTGATGCTAGAATTCTAAATATATATGGGTCAGTCACCTTTAGCCTACTAAAATGCCAAGTCTCTTTTCACATTCGTTGCTTTATTTAATTTATAATATTTTTATATACAAAACTAAGCCTAGCCTCAACTATCCCGTAATACTTTATAGTAAAATATATAACCGCTCCGGGTCATACGTAACCATACAAAAGTAAGACATTGATATTTACAATACGGATTTCATTAAATTCTATAAGAAAATGATAAACTGTGAATTTCGAAATGTCCATCAAGCAACTAGAAAATAAAATGTTTTGTAAAATTACATATCTAACTACTCTGCTATATGAGCGTGTGTTAGTGTTTTTATATCTGTATAATATAAAATTCTATTTATACTAAAAGCACAATTTTCCAAATATTTCTTAATCATTATTAAATTAATTTGTATCGACTAATAATATTTTAATTATAGGTCAATCCCACAACAGCTCATATCATTTATACCATGTTGGAGAAGTAGCTAGGCAGTCAGTTCGGAACTTTGCGGAGTTCGGTAAATTCGATGAAATAGTAGAAGAAGGAGAAGAAGACATGAGAATCTACGATCAATTCTCAGCGCCATCTGTTGGTGACGGTACTGGTGAAACTGGAAACATGGTTTTTGTTGATGGAGATCACAGTTTGGTAAGTTTGTCACATAATAAAATATAAAATTGTAATCTTATTCTATACTAGCGACTCACCGTCGCTTCCTAGTCTTTAAATTGACTTTTTTTGTATATAAACCGATTGAAATAAAACAAATACTAATAAATATTAAGTGAAGCTACCTACATTACGTTAGTGAAAACTGCACCCAAATCGGTTAAGCTGTTTCTAAGATTACAAACGCACAGACAAACAGACAAAAATTCCAAAAATCGTTGCTTTTGGGTGTTATTACTTTAATAAAGACTCCCAATGTTAGTTTTTCTCAAGTATCTTCCACGTACAGACAGCATTTAGTTACACTTTTATCATACATATAGATATCGATGTACCAATATCTTTAAAAAAATATAGGACATTAAATTAAACTGGCATATATAAAAATACTCACAGTAATCGAGTACGATTGCTATGATTACTCCAATAACATTTGAATAACAAATTAAAAAACCTTTTTTTAACGTATCAAAAGAACCTAAAAACAAAATTAAAATGGTATCGAAAATATACCAATTTATTATCAAAATGTTGTAACATACAAATATACGCACCAAAGTTACCAAAACAAATTCAAACAAAATAATTCCATGTTGTTTACAGATATCAGTCATTAGTCGTATCATACCATCACCTGATTGGTTTGTTGGAGTTGATAGTTTAGATCTGTGCATTGATTCATCGTGGGTGGAAGAAATTACTCTTGAGGTAAATATAGATTTTACTTCTATTTAAGCCTTTAATAAAATATTGGTGTTACATTCACCAGCTGCTACGGATGAAGAACATTAGATCCTGAGTGTGAGAGTCAGGTCGCGTCGAAAGAATTATTAAATCGTTTCCAAAATTATTTATCTCTTTCTGATCATGTAAGATTGCTTCCCATTAAATAATAAAAATGAATAGAGAGTTTGTCTGTATTTGATTGCGCTTGTACACTAAAATATTTCCATATTCGATAGTTAGTTACTATAGTTATCTGTAGAATGTACAAAATTGGCCAAATTTCGATTTACTGTAACCCATTGTTCCGGAATTATCTTGTTTAACTATTTTGGATAGCGGGGAAATAGTGACTTAAACTTTAGCATATACTTATGTAAAGTTTTTAATTAAATCATGTATTAGCCCCATGCCTAACTACTTTTATTTTTTTTCCGTAAAGAATTGGAATAATTTATTTTGAAATATACCAAATTTTCTATAATTTACAGCTAGAACCGTTAGACGCAGGGGCGGCTAGTGGTCTGACTTTCACTGCTCCTCGTTGGGAAACTGTTCCTCCAGCTCCTGTGACTAAGCACGGCCCTCGAAACCCGAATCACCCTGCCGCAGGTTTCTACTATCCCGACTTAAGAGAACTACCTCCGATCGCAAAAATTGAATTTTCTAAGGTAAATCTTGCTTAAAATATTTAATAAGGAACCTCTCGATATAAATTTCTCAACTGAGAGTTTTATTTTTAATACAATATACTAGCAGAACCCGCGGCTTCGCTCGCGCTTTACAAAAAAATCTCTAAAAATGTAGTTTCATACAAACTCTCATACCCTATTTTATCCCCTTATGGGATGGTTTTCGAAATATGCTAAAACATGTATTTATATGATTTTATTTAAGAGCATTCACACCAAGTTTCAAAGTAATTTTGATCATAAATATTTTTTTGGGTTGTGTTATAACTATCTGCACACAAAAAATCACGCCAATTAGTCACTCCGTTTCGACGTGAAACAAGGACAAACAAACAAACACACTTTCACATTAATTATAATATTAAGTATGGAAGTATGGATATAATAACTAATATACTTTTATTTAGGTCAAAGAATATTCAACGAAAGAAGTAAACGACTTGGCGAGAAAAGAACTGCTACTTTCTCTTAAACAAAAAGATAAGCGTAAAGGCGCACCAAGGAGAAAAGTTAATCTGATTGACGAATATCCATTAGCTCAAACAGATGTGACGACCAAAAATTATATGGACCAGTTAAAAGATTTAGAAGAAGACGCAGTTGGAACTCCACGATATAATGTGCCTGACAATAATGTTATTGTAGTAACAAAATCGCCTATTACGTATGTATTTTATCAACAACTAAATTTAATATTTTATAATTTACATTTACGTATATTATCTACTTGCGACTTACGCTCGCTTCGCTCGGAAGCATCCCTAGGTGCGTTTTAAATAGATATAAGTAGTTCTTAGCCAGCGTTAGCCATGTGAGTTTAAATTTTTTTCGTTAAGTTTCCGACGTTTTAACAACCAATATTTTGCTATTCGTAGTGGAGGCAAATCCAACAAATCAAAGATCATAAAAATCGGTCCAGCCGTTCTTGAGTTATAAATGGTGTAAATAACTCGACTTTGTTCTATACATCTATATATATCTATATCTATACTAATATTATAAAGAGGTAAACTTTATGAATTGTGAGGTCGTGAGTTTGTAAGTTTGTGACGTTGTAGGGGGTAATCTCTGGATTTACTGAACTGATTTAGATGAAATTTGATAAGAAGATAGTTTGAGATCCTGGAAAGGACATAGAGTACTTTTTATCCCTGAAATCACCCCTTAAGGAGGTGAAAATGGGGATGAAAGTTTGTATGTGAAATCAAGTCGCTAGTAGTATAATATATGTATAGATTATTACTTTGTGTTGAAAATTGCCTCTTATAATATTAAAATTATGTCAGTAATTTTACTGTTATTTTTTATTTAGTAATATTTTGCTCCTGAATAACTTTATAATAAATAAATACATACCAAATTAACAGTGAGCTACCATTTTTTGGCGTTGTTATGTGTTTGCCTCTTTCCTCTCTTAAATATAATTCTCTAAGTTTAAATGTTATTAAAATACAGCATTTTTATTAAGTTTTTTATACGGTCACGGTTAATGAAAAAATAGGTTTAAACTTACAAACTTTATTTCATTTTAGTAATAGTAGTATACCTATTCATGTTAAAAAATATTAGATTTTTTTTCTTTACAGTACAACAACTGTACAAGAATTCGATAGCGATCTTAGAAATATGGACGATGTAGTCTTGGCTGTAGCTAAAGGCAGAAAACTTGGTCTGGGCAAGCATCTGCCTAGACACTTCAGATCCAGACTCCATCATGCAGTTAATAGAATCCAACGTAAGTTAATAAATGTACAATATATTTTTCTTGTATTAATAATTTATGTTTATTTGCCATTTACAATACTCTTAAAGAAATGAAATATTATTTTTGAAGTAAAATATTCATAATACACTAGCGACCGGCCCTGGCTTTGCCCGAAATGTTAAGGTGCTTGTACAAAAACATCGTTTATCGTCGTTATCACCTCCAGGTAAATTTCTAAGAAATTAATTAAAATTCTAAGAAATTTAATGTTCACTGACACGCCGGCGTGTCCGCGGTCGTTGAGGGATTAAGTATTAAATCACCTTTTAAATTATACCTTTTTTTTAACGTTGGGAAATGCATTTACGCACGAAGTGTGGGACTCACCGGCGAAGCCAGTACTACCCATTAAAACCCAACAAAACCTTCCCGTCTTAATGGGGCGTCGCAGGATCGCTTACGCATTCAACTACGATGCCCCGACGGCAGGTCTGCCGAAGCAGACCACAACAACCACGGGGTTGCTCCAAGGTCCACTTTGCTATCAGAGAAGTACCAGGAGCAACCCGCATGGTACACCACCCTCCGAAGAGGGCCGCCTCCCACTGCCCACCGAAGCGGGCCACCTCCCTGTGCGTTTCTTGGCTTCGCGCCCGGCTGTATTGACGGGCACTACTGAGCCCCCCCACCACGACAAGGTGAACGCACGTTGTGGGGGACTTTTAAATTATACCTATTATATGCAAATTAATCTATACTAATATTATAAATGCGAAAATTTGTGAGGATGTATGGATGTCTGGATGTATGAATGTATGGATGTTTGTTACTCTTTCACGGCAAAACTACGGAATGGATTTCAATGAAACTTTACAATAATATAGCTCATATATCAGAATAACACATAGCCTACTTTTTATCCCATAAAAATGTACTGTTCCCGTGGGATAGATTTATTTTTGTTTTTCCACAGACGGACCCGAGCAAAGCGAGGGTGAGCCGCTAGGAAATCATAAATTATTCAGATGAAAATCGTGTGCCAACCATCGTATGTTCATGGTACTAACTTACAAACTTTTGCGAACATGCGCACAACATCTCGTCAAAGTAGCAATTGAAAGGTGTAGGAAACCATGTGTTACAAACAAACTAACATGTTATATCCTATTTACATATACATAATAACTAAAAGTGTTAATAGTGCATTACATGGTATTTATTGAAAAAATAAAACATGTCTAAAACAAAATCTATCAACGACATTTATAGCATCAGAACGCAACAAATGGTAGTAATAAATTATTAGCGAAAAAATGAGTTCAAATATTCTCTCTAAATATTTCTAATATTTGAGAACCTAAAATAATACAAAATATGCTTTAAAAATTAACAACTGCGAATAAAAAACAGCGAAGGTATGAATATTTCTAAGTTTTTAAGATATTTTTTATTTTTATAGCTGAAGACTGTCTTGTGTCAGAGTGGAGTGAATGGACGCCTTGTTCTGTGACCTGCGGCTTCGGAAACAAGTTTAGAACTCGTACAGTTGTTAGACAGAAACAAAGGAATGGTCGCGATTGCCCCGCACTATCGGACAGACGGCATTGTGGTAATATCAACTCTTGCACACATATTGACTACTTTGAATGGTGAATTGTTTTATATAATGAAATTATTTAAAATTATATATATTTGTGCATTTTATAATAGTAATAAGAAATTATAAATAAAATACTAAGTAAATTTTGTTTGCTTTTCTATTTATAATTTAAAAAAATATCAAAACATAAAAAAATATATAATAATAATATGTTGATATGTAGTATAACTAAGAGAAGAATTAGTTATTTTTTAACGTAAATTTCTTATACAATATATAAGCATGTTGCTTAAAATCTGAAATCGATAAGCTTAGACCGATAAAATCACTATAAATGTATGGATCAAAGTATCCACAGACAATAAAGTAATAAGTAGGTACTGTTATTGTTACTGTTAAGTTAGTAGTACAGTAAACTGCTTTCATTAGTTCCGAAAACAGCTACTATGAGAACCTAAAGGCCTGTGCACATCACATTTTATAATGGCGCCTATGACCCTTTCACAAACGTACGTCTGTTAAATTTTAAATAAATAAATATGTTGGGACATCAACACACAGCACCATCTAGTTCCATGGTAAGCTACGAGGCTTGTGCTGTGGATACCAGATAGTTGATACACTACACATATATAACTTTAAATACATACATATAAATATAAACAGCCATGACTGGAGTAAAAACATTCGTGCTCATCACACAAATGAATGCCCCAGCGGGACTCAATCACGCGACCGCTGGCACAGCAAGTAGGGTCACAACAAACTGAGCCAAACATGTGGTCTGTGCACATTCTGCGCCGATAATGCAGATTGTTTGCGTTTGTCTCAATACAAAAGTGAAAAAAGCGCAGGTCTACGCATTAGGAACCATCGTGTGTGAAGACCCTTAATATCCCCATCAATTTCCCTAAGATTCCAGCACTAAAATAGTGTACCTATTATAACTTAAGTTTAAGTCATGTTAGGTAAACTATTAATCTTACACTGATTTTAAAAAAAATATGAAAAAAAGCTATAAATACTTTTTCACATGTTTTGAACTCATATTTAAGACAAAAAACATTTAAAAATGAGAATGAAATGCTACCGTACTTGTTTTTGTCATTTACTCCAACTGTAATTTAGCAACGCTTGTTTATGTATGGTCGGACTACAACCGTTGGGGCAGCTTTATAGCGGTCAGCCCAATAAAATGACACTGGTTACGAATTAAAATTTAAATATTTCATGCGATGAAGTGGACTGTAACGTTGCTCTGTGTAGACAATTAATAAAATATTGAAATTATTCATGTTTTTTGAGTACCTTTTTAGTGTTGGACAGGTGATAATTAAAAAACGTTGATGTTGCTCGAATCGTGGGGGTTTTGTCATGAATTAACTATAGGTACTTAAAAATAAAATTGAAGTGTCTGTTTGTAATGTCAAAATAACAGCTTTTTACCAAATTAATATGAAATTATATACGGTACTTATAAAAAAACACTACTTTTAAAAAATTAAATTTGTTTGTTCCGGCTAATCTCCGAAACGGCTGGACTGATTTTGATGGGACTTTCACTGGCAGATAGTTAAGGTTATAAGGAATAACTTGACTTATTTTTATTTTAGAAAAAGAATTAGGGTTCCGCTCAAAAAAATTAAAACGTACCTAGACAGGCACCCGAGCGAAGCGAGAGTAAGTAGCTTTAAAATATAATTCACTGTAAATATAGTTACAAAATGTATAAAAGATATAGGTACTAGTTAAACTTATCATACAAACGATAAGCTACAACCAAAAAATCTAAGGGGTCTTAAGTTATATTTCATATGTGCTAAACCGACTGATATGCATTTCTTACTTAATTATTCCTTGCAATAGATATATGTAATGTGTACATACAAACATTAGTATTCCTTGCAAAGTATTATGTGTCAATATTATATCCCTATAGGCAAATGTATATCGCAATAACACACATATATTGCAAGGAATACAAAAATAAATGCTATGTATATAATGGTAATTTTAAAAATGTAAAATCTACTTATATTTATAATTGCTGTTTTTATTACGTTTTAGTATTATCACGAAAAGCTACCAGAATGTAAATCATCTATACAAAATATCAACTCAACAATATTTTAATATTCAATAAGCGTATAAATCAAAACTCTCCATTCAGCTTAACAGCAAGAACTGAGGAACAACTGGTCTCATACATACATTTTTTACATCCCGCACAATATGAAGATCTCGTAGCCATTCCATAAATCAAAATATAGTCGAAAACTTGTTTTATTAGATCATGTTTCAGCTATCTTTCATTCAGGAGATCACAAAAAACGCTTACTCCTTTAGTTCTCGTAGTAAAAGCGTTGGTAACGTATTTTTTCGATTACTTCTCTCTAAGGCTCTATATCTACAGAACACTGTTGTAACGCGATACACAATATTATTATGTTTTTCCTATTTTTTCAAAAGTTTATCTATACTAATATTATAAATGTGAAAGTTTGTGTGTATGGATGTTTGTTACTCTTTCACGCAGAAAGTACTGAATGGATTTTAATGAAACTTTACAATAATATAGCTCATACTTCAGAATAACACATAGGCTACTTTTTATCCCGGAAAAATGTACGGTTCCCGTGGGATAGATTTGTTTTTGTCTTTCTAGAGGCGAACCGCAAGCCAGTGTACAATATAGGAAATTAATAATGTACTTAATTATACATATATACAAAACAAATGTCCAATTAATTATTACTTTACAAGTCATGTCTGCGTGGAATAGTGGCAAGAATACCGCATCCTCGCTGAATGGCAATGCCAATTTTTGGGGCAAAAAACGAGTCAGAATTCTTGTCACCAGTAGAGGCGATAAGACGAGGTGTTGTGTCTTTTTCTAATCTTATTTTTAATAAACACGATTTTTAGTATAAATTACCTATTTTGACAGGATTTTTAAACAAATTAATCCATGGTATAATTTTTAGATGCGCGTATTCTATAAAAACACAGTATATTAGATCATAGCTTCTGAGTTGATTTTACAATTGATATCTACGAGTACTTATGGCTGTTTCTAGTTTCTATCAAGCGGTTATATAGAGTTTAGTATTATTTACACGAAAAACCAATTTAAAACTCATTTAGTTACATATTTTCAACGGACTTCTTCAAAAATGAGGAGGTTCTCAATTAGGCTGTATGGTTTCATCATTTATTAACCGATTTGGACAATTTTTATTTTGTTTATAAGTGTACACTTTCAAGTTGGTCCCATTTTAATTTAAAAAAAATGGCCGCCGATACGAATCAAAGCAAGTCGACTTCATAAATATCTGATTAGGTATCTATAGTAAATGAAAACTACCAATCAGTAATTTTTACTTTTCAATGTTTTTAAGTCGTTTTTTTTTAGTTTTTGTATATTTATGAAGCCATTCTCATATGCAATTCCATTAAAAATACTATTTAAACCGATATAACCATCGTCGGTAGAAAAATATCGTGACTGTGCACTATTCCGTATACTGTAGTAGCCTAAGGGCGAAACGTTCAATAGACGGCGGGACTCGCTCATTTGTATTCCGCACGTGATCTTCGCAAAATCAAGGAGTATGTGATTCGATTTCTATACCCTTATATAATTGTGTAGAGGAGATATTTTTATTTAAAAAAATAATTAATATCTATACATGCTTATGTCAATAAGAATTATAGGCTGTATAAACGACGTTTTCACAAAAAAAAAGATCTTGAAAAATATTTGATATAAATTAGAAGGAGAAATAATTTAAATTTTCAATGTACATGTTCAATCTTTGTAATGTGGTGGAATTAGATGCAATTAAACATTTTGATATCTAAGCGAATACTGGCTTTATTTTGAGGGAATATCGTCTTTCATAATAACATATAAAATCATCACATATACTTATTAAGTTTACTACACACTCATCTCGTTAGAATAACCAGACGAATCTTGATACAATTTATTTTATTCTACAGCTAACGTTTCAATGTATACGAAGTGAAAATAACGAACAAGAATAATGTAAACTTAATGAAAATAATGCAAAAACATCGTTGATACAATTTAGAATTCCACTTTAACATAAACATGTATATATAATAATAATTTATTTTTTCTCACAAAAAACTCTACACAGTTATAACAGACAGACAGACAGACGGACATTAGACAATAAGATTTTTAGATTAAAACAAGAGTTTTTATATAACAAAATTGTAAGTAACAATTATGTGTAATATACATATTTACCGGCAACACTTCTAGAATCAAGATTCTAAAATTAAACCAACAGGTTAAACTCCAAAAATAAAATACGAATAGGTAATAACAGCTCATAGTATATATGCAGGTCACTCATTCGGAAACATCAATAGAGTGTGTCGTCGAGAGCTACATACTAAACAAATGATCTCGCTGTTAGCAGTCCTGTCAAAACTTACCATACTATCATTATACAATGTAAATTCTGATATCTAATCATAAATGCAACAAAATCTTAAGAGGGGAATCTTACAATGCCTAAAAAAGCTCTACCTAGTAATTTCTTAAGGTATAGGTATATTTATTAAATACTAGCAACTCAGCCGCTCGGTTTCGTCCCTCAATACATTTAAATGGTTAGTATAGATTTCTCAGAGATGAGATATTTTCCCGTAGTAAAAAGTATCCTATATGTTGACCCAGCCATATCATCATACCAAATCTCATCAAAATCTGTCCAGTGGTTTTCTTGTGATGCGTTCCCGGACAGAAAGACAGACAAAAATTCAAAAAACTATAGATTCGACCTATGTATCGATATTAATGATTATTTCAATAAGATTCGACTCAGAATTTTATTATATCTATAGGTAGATATTTATCTCAAATTCTTAAAAATCATATTAATCGCAATAACAAAGTTATTCAGTAAGACTTAAGAACACAATTCAATTAATTCATGATTAGAATTGGATATCTTCAGTTTGAAATGTTATTTTATTTTGCTTCTTTGTCATATTTTTGGCTGTAAGTTTACCTTCA